CTGAAGGTCCCTCTGCACATCCAGGAGATACTAACCATTCCACTGGACCTGACTCTCTGTGACACCAATGCCTAGGCCCTGAAGGCAATCATATGCTCACATTCAGCAGTCATAGGATCAGACAGAGCTTTGGCAGACTCTCTGGCCCTTTGTTCCAGTCTGTCAGAATCTCTGACACCTCTGCCAGACATTCTCCGAATGCGTCTCCATCAGTTCATTAATGGCTGAGCGCAGAGACTCGTTATCTGGATTGGCTTGGCAGAGGCCTGTTCTCCAGCAGCCTTCTCAGCATCACAGATATTGGTCATCTCTTCCTGCTCAGGCTGTGGGCCTGTGCTCACAAGAATGTGACTCTAGATCCATTCCCCTCAGAGGTGAATATCTCTGCATTGGTCAAGAGGGGGGCAATGTCCTTGTTGGCTGTGCCTTCTCAGGTGGAGGTTGAAGGGGTTGGAGTTGGGGGGAGGGAATGACCCCCTAATCCAAGGTTTCATGAAGAACCTGTCACTCGGCATGCAGCAGGGGAGCAGCAGATTGGAAGCTTTCTCACTGGATGGCCATAAACATGCACTTCGCTTTTCAGCACACACATCTTCCCCTGTTCTCCTGCCAGCTCAGCAGTCTGCTCCTCAAAGAGGGTTAGAAATCTGGAGTTAGAGTACAAGAATAGGAAAGCCTTACTGCAAATGTGCCAGCTGCTGGTGAGACCACACCTGGAGTACTAAGAACAGTTTTGGTTCCCTTTTTTAAGGAAATATATCATTTCATTAGAGCCAGTTCAGAGAAGGTTCCCTAGGATAACCCCTGGTATGGAAGGATTGTTTTATGAGCAAAGGTTAAACAGGTTGTGACTCACTGGAGTTTTGAAGAATGACAGGTGGCCTTACTGAAATATAAAGGGGCTTGACAGGGTAAATGCTGAGATGATGTTTCCCCTCAGAGAGCATTGTCTCAGAATAAAGGGGAGCTAGTTTAATCTGAGATGAGGAGGAATTTCTTCTCTCAGCGGGTTGAGAGTCATTGGAATTCCTTGTCACAGAGAGCCAGGGGGCCAGAGTCCTTGTGTCTATTTAGGGCTGAGACAGATATATTTTTGATCAGTCTCGGAATGAAGGGTGACAGAGGAAATGCAGGAAATTGGACGAGAGGAATGTCGAATCAGCCATGATCCTATTGAATGGCAGAGCAGGCTTGAGGGAACAAATAGCCTATTCCTGTTCCTATTTCTTCTGGTCTTATATCCTCACTCACCCCCTAACCCCCAAATCTGTCTCTATGCTAGGGAGGCTTTGCTAAATTATGAGATATTTTCTGTTGGGTCTCTGTTACCTCTGGGGGGTAAGCGAAGGTGACAAGTAGAGGTTGAGTGACGCTGCTGGGTTACAGAAAGCAAAGTGCTCTACGAGTGCAGATGACACCAAAATTAGAGGTGTAGTGAGCAGTGAAAAAGGTTACCTCAGAGTACAACAGGATCTTGATCAGATTGGCAAATGGGCCGAGGAGTGGCAGATGGAATTTAATTTAGATAAATGTGAGGTGCTGCATTTTGGAAAGGCAAATCAGGGCAGGATTTATACACTTAATAGTAGAATCCAGTTGAGTGGTGCTGAACAAAGAGACCTTGGAGCTGATAGGTGTGAAGCTGAAAAAGCACAGCAGCAGACAGCATCTGAGGAGCAGGGAAGTTCATGTTTCAGATTGAAACCCTTCATCAGGACTGGGTGGGGAGGGGAGCGCAGAAGTAAATAGAGGGAGGGTGTGGGGCTGGGGGAAGGGTAGGTGGGATGGTGCTAGGTGGATGCAGGTTGGGGGTTATTGTGATCCCTGCTCCTCGGATGCTGTCTGACCTGCTGTGCTTTTCCAACTTCACACCTATCGACTCTGGCTTCCAGCATTTGCAGTCCTTACTGTCTCTAAAGAGAACTTGGAGTGCAAGTTCATAGCTCCTTTGTAAGTGGTAGGCAGGACAGTGAAGAAGGCATTTGGTACGCTTGCCTTTATTGGTCAGTGCATTGAGTGTAAGAGTTAGGAGGTCATGTTGTGGTTGTATGGGACATTGGTCAGGCCGCATTTAGCATACTGTATGCAATTCTGGTCTCCCTGCTATAGGAAGAATGTGGTGAAACTCAAAAAGGTTCAGAAAAATTTTAAAAGGATATTGCCAGGGTTGGAGGGTTTAAGCTATAGGGAGAGGTTGAATAGGCTGGGGCTATTTTCCCTGGCGTGTCAGAGGCTGAGGGGTGACATTATAGAGGTTTATAAAATCATGAGGGGCATAGATATGGTAAATAGACAAGATATTTTCCCCAGGGTAGGAGAGTCAAAAAGTAGAGGGCATAGGTTTAGGGTGAGAGGGGAAAGATTTAAAAGGGACCTGAGAGGCAACTTTTTCCACTCAGAGTGTGTTGTGTGTATGGAATGAGCTGCCAGAGGAAGTGGCGGAGGCTGGTACAATTACAACATTTAAAAGGCATCTGGATGGATATATGAGTAGGAAGGGTTGAGAGGGATATGTGCCAAATGCTGGCAAATAGGACTGGATTAGTCGAGGATATCTGGTTGGCACGGATGAGTTGGACCACAGTGTTCGTTTCCATGCTGTATATCTCTATGACTCTTTGACTCTAATATGGAGCATTTCTTGTGCCAAGGAGCAAAACTATCTGTTTGCCTCCCCCATAACAGTTGGGCCTTTACCCAGACATGAAAATGCAGTGAGCTGAAAGGAAGATAATTGTGTGAGAAAACCCAACCCACTTCAGATCCATGTCCATACTTAATCTCAAATAAACAAGATCCCATTGCTGGAGACTAATTGTAGTTTCTGATAGGAATATGGTGTGGGAGAGAGCTCCATCTGCTGCTGAGGTAAGGAATAAAACAGCACTCCGTAAAGATTTGAAATGATGCAACTTGCAATTGCAAGGTCAGGGTCTCAGCTTTAAAAATGGAAATTGGAAGCTGTTCTACATTTTAGATTTACCAAGTAATTAAAGAACATACATAGATATGACTATATAAATTGGGAGCAGGAGTAGGCCACTATGATGTCCTGATGAAGGGTCTAGGCCTGAAATGTCAACTCTCCTACGCCTCTGACGCTGTCTGACCTGCTGTGTTCCTCCAGCCCTACACTGTATTGACTTCTTTTTTCTCACCCCCTTTATTCATTCACGCTATGAAGGCAGCACTTATTGCCCATCCTTTATTGCCCAGAGTCAACCACATTGCTGTGGGTCTGGAGTAACGTGTAGGCCAGACCAGGTAAGGATGGCAGTTTCCTTCCCTAAAGGACATTAGTGAACCAGATGGTTTTTTTTCCCCCAACAATTGACAATGGATTCATGGCCATCATTAGACTGTTAATTCCAGGTATTTATTGAATTCGAATTCCACCATCTGCCATAGCGGGATTCAAACCCGAGTCCCCAGAACATTATCTGGGTTTCTGGATTAACAGTCTAGTGATAATACAACTAGGCCATCACCTCCCCTCTATAGATTCACAATTGTCTGAGAGGAAACAATTTCCTAATCTCAGTCTTAAATTGGAGACCCCATACATAATCTCAGCTTCAACCCAGTCAAATCCCTTCAGGATCTTTTGTTTCCTTAAGATCACCAATTATTCCTCCAGACTGCAAAGGATACTGGTCCAATCTGTCCAACCTTTCCTCCCAAGATACCACCTGATCTGATGTATCCATTGAGTGAACCTTTCTGAACTGTTTCTGAGGTATTGAAGTATTTATTTTGTAAGTAACAGAGACAAACACCGTGCAAGCAATCCAAATGAGGCTTCATTAATATCCTGTACAACTGCAGCAAAACATCTCTCCTTTTATATTCCCTTCATCTTGCACTAGGCAGTAATCAGGGGGTGAATAACTCACCTCAGAATCCACAGCCTCTGGCCTGCTCTCATAGCAGCAGTATTTATATGCCCAGTCCTGTTCAGTTTCTGATCAATAGTAACCCCCAGGATGTTGATAGTGGGGTTTTATAATGGCAATGCCATTGAAAGTCAAAGGGCATTAGAAACAAAGAACCATAAAAAATAGGAACAGGAGCTGGCCACTCAGTATGATTGTGACTAATCCTCTATCTGAATATCACACTCCCGTTCACTCCACAGGCTGCTTGACACTTTTAGCTTTAAAAAAAACTATTACTTTTACCTCATCTCAGTTCTAAATGGCTGATCACATATCCTGAGATCATGACCTCTTGTGCTATACCCTTCTCCTCTTGTGGGTGGGGGAGGGGGTGGTGGGGAGGTTGCATTAACCCTGCATCCAATGTGTCCAGCCCTGTCAGAACTTTATATGTTTCAATGGGATCCCCTCTCCTTTGTCTAAACCCCAGTGAATACAGACCCAATTCACCCAATTTCTCCTCATTCAACAAATTGCTATCTCAGGGATCAGTCTGGTGAACATTTGCTGCAGTCCTTCTATGACAAATATATCTTTACTTAGGTAGGGAGACTGAATCTACACACAGTTCTTTGGTTGTGTTCTCACTAAGGTCCTGTACAAACTGCAGTCAAACATCCTTGCTCCTCCACTCCACCTTCTTGCAATGAAGACCAACATACCATTTGCCTTCCTAAGTGCTTGCTGCACCTGCATTGCTTGTTTTCAATGACTGGTGGACAAGGTCAGCCAAGGTCTCTTTGTTCATCAACATTTCCCAATCTTTCACTATTTAAATAATACTTTACCATTCTGTTTATTCCATTGGACAATTCACGTTTACTCATGTTGGAGTGTATCTGCGATTTATTTACCCACTCATTCAACTTGTTTAAATCACCCGAGGCCTCATTTATGTTGTCCTCACCGTTCACATTCTCACCTGGTTTTGTATCATCAAAAATTTTGTAAATATTACTTTTGATTCCCTTGCCCCAGTGATTAATTTATATTGTGGATAGCTGGAGCCCAAACACTGATCCCTGCAGTGTCCCAATAGTCACCACCTTCCACTCCAAAACTTACCCATTTGTTCTTACTCTCTGTTTTCTGTCTGTTAGCCAATGCTTAATCCAAGCCGGTATATCTTCACCAACGGTATGTGCTTTAATTTTTCGAACCAACCTCCTGTGTTTCTGACGAAGGATCACTGGACTTAAAATGTTAACTCTTGTTTCTGCCGACAGATGCTACAAGACCTGCTGTTTTTCCAGCATTCTCTGCGTCTGCGGCTTTTTTCAAAAGTCTTCTGAAAATCCAAGTGTGCTCTGTCCATCTAGTCCTCTTCATTAATTTTGTTAGTAACATCCTCAAAAAAAACCCTCCAAGTTCGTCAAACACGATTTTCCACTCACAATCGAAAGGTTACGAGGCAATGCCAGAGGGCTGTTAAGAAACAAAAAGCAGAAATTGCTGGAGAAACTCATCAAATCTGGCAGAATCTGTCGAGAGAAAGTAGAGCCAACGTTTCGGGTCCAGTGACACCTTCTTCATAACTGTTAAGAGTCAGTCACTTTGGGCGAAACTTGTGTCCTTACTGGCCCCAGTGGGTGTAGGATGTTGCCCTTTTAAATGTTGCTGAAACAGATAGTGGGCACCCATAGACTAACGCAGCTAATTAAAGATCTTGTGATTACTCCCAGCCAAGAAAGTTCAACGGCAGCCCCGAAGGTGTTGCTATGGTTTCAGCCTCCTTTCCTCTACAGAAACAAAGTTAATAATTTACAAGACCGACAGCAGGTGCCGGTGGAGACGGGAGCTCCACGTTCAGTTGTTTTAACGTTAAGGACTGGCGAAAATATCGTTTTCTTTCCCCCAGCCCCCTCCTCCACCTTTTGCTGTTGTTCGCCTTCTGCCTGGTCCAGGGAGAATTGACAGTGTTCCAGACCCAGACCACACAATCGCAGGTAAGACAGGGGAAATCTTTCTCCCCTTTGCTCAGTGTCGGGGACCCTGTGTTATTTGAGCTTTTAAAACCCCAAGTGTGATCTCATCTCTTTCAGTAGCCTCTGCATTCTTATAAAGAAATACATTCCCCCCGCCCCGATTTCTGGGCCTTCACTATTCACCTGGGCTTCTAAAAATAAATGCTGAAGTCAACAATTATGGGTGTTACCTTTTTGTACAGTGTGCACACTCCCCACTGACCTTTGTCAATAACCGACGAAACTAAAGGTCATTTCAACCGGAGCAAACCTGTATCTTACGTTTTAAGAGACATCTGAGAGACCTGGTTAATAGAATCAGGCATTTTAAAGCAGTACATCGGGGGTGGCGATGGGGAACAAATTAGGATGCAATACACGCTTAGATTTTTCAATTGAGTCAGGGTCTTGACAAGACATTGAACTCCGGAGGGTGACCAAAAAATCCAAATTAAACGGAGTGCACACTCGAGGCTCAATCCATCAGGACCAGCTGTTAAGGCAGAGCTGGACGAGGCTGAAACTGGAGATGAGGGAAAAAATGCCACTAGACATAAAACTTTTCCCATCTAGAATTAAGCATTGTTGTGGCCATTGGCTGCTTAATCTGGATTAGAGCGGGAGCTCAGTTACAAATTGTGAAAAATTGAATCATGGGGTTTTTAAGAGCATGGAAAGAGGCTCCTTCTGTCCATTGTGTCTGTGTAAGTCATCAAGCTCCTACCTCCTTTAATTGACTGCGGAAAAGGGTATTTGGGGACAGCATAAGTCTGACACCAAGATCACCAAGTTTACAGAGCTGTGGTTGTTCCCGCTCTCCTCTGTGGTTCTGAGACATTGACTGTCTACAGCCGACATCTCAAGGCACTGGAGTACTAGCACTAATGCTGCCCGTACAAAATCCTGCGAATCTGCTGGGAGGAAAGGTGGAAATCAGTGGTTAGCACACTTGCCTCACAGCACCAGGGACCCACGTTCACTTCCAGCCTTGCATGACTGTCTGTCTGGTGGAGTTTGCACATTCTCCTTGTATCAGTGTGGGTTTTCACCGGAGTGCTCTGGTTACTTCCCACAAGTCCAAAGATGTGCAGGTGAGGTGAAATGGCCATGGTAAATTGGCCATAGTGTCCAGGGTTGTGCAGGTTAGATGGGCTAGCCAAGGGAAATGCGAGATCATGGGGAGAGAGGGTGATCATCTTTGGAGGGTCAGTGCAGACTTGATGGGCTGAATGGCCTCTACCTACACTATAGGGATTTTATGATGTCTGAGGAACCAAGGTGTTTGCATAAAATGGTCACAAGATGATTTGTTATCTTTCATTGGTGACTCTACTTTTAACAAACTACTCATTAAAATAGGTCATTTAAATTAATTTTTGTATTTACTCATGAGAATAATCAGGATCCAAACATGAGGCCATTCAGCCCATCATGCCTGCTCTTTCCTTCTACCCTGTAAGTTGCTGGTGATGAAATCTATCAATCTCTATTTTAAACATAACCAAAGATTGACTTTTAAGTATTTTGTTGGTTTTAAATGAGATAACCTCTCATTCTTCACAACCATAGAAAATATCAGCCCAATTTGTCTAATCTCCCTTCATAGTATAGTTTCGCCATCCTGGGAACAAGTCTGGTGAACTTTCCTTCTGTGGTAGTGTAGCGCCCTTCATCAGGTGAGGGGACCAGTTCTGTACCAAATGTGGTCTAACCAAGTTTTTATACAATTGAAGGAAGGTTTCTCCTGGTTCATCAATCCTTTTACAAGAATGTGCCATCGTTACATGGAGTCACTTAAACCATGGTGCCCCTTTAAAAAGAGCATAATCTCAAAGATGCAATCTCAAAAACCTTTCGTGATCACCAGTAGCACCACATTCACCAGGTTTCTTGCTGTAAACATGTAAAAGGTTACTGCTGAACTTCAATAAGTATCAACAACAGCAGGGTTCAAGTGTTTCATCTTTTGAGTAACTTGTGACCTGAGCCCTTGAAACCTTTTGAACGCTGTGCTCCACCACTTAAGCATTACTACAGGGACATCTGCTTAACTCTATAAAAGTGCAGTTTTGCTGATTGTTGCAACCCCAATCCATATATCACTTAATCAGCCTTTTCAGGTGTGGTATTGCACACCTCTGGAGCACATTGGACTTGAACCCAGGTCTCCTCTCTCAGAGGCAGGGACACTCCCACTGCACAACAAGAGCCTAAATCTAACACACCTAGTAGTATGATGGGAACAAATTCTCCACAAATACCGCATTGATTTAAAGCCCATCACCTGTAGCAATTTAGGATGGTCAACTCTTGCCAATCCACCCATATCCAAAAAAATGACAAACATCAGAATTTGCTGTCAAAATAATGGACACTCATTATTTATAAATAAATGTTGGTTACTTCAGCAAGGCAGGATGGGGAGGTGATGGCCTAGTGGTATTAGCACTGGACTGTTGACCCAGATAATGTTCAAGCGATCTGGGTTCAAATCCCAACCAAGGTAGATGGTGGAATTAAAAAGATTGAGTCCAATGATGACCCTGAATCCATTGCCAATTGTTGTAAAAAAACAAAAAAAACCCATCTGGTTCCCTAAGGAAACTGCCATTGTTACCTGGTCTGGCCTACAAGTGACTTCAGACCCACAGCAACATGGTTGACTCTGAACTGTCCTCTGGGCAATAAATATTGGTCTAGCCAGTGACACCTTATCCTGTGAATGGATAAAAAAAATTAAATGAATTGAGACACACTGAATGAAGTAGCCACAGTTTTTAACAGATCAGAGCCAGGACATTCCTTAGCAAGCAATTTCCCCAAAGACTTCTGCCTGCCTGTGACTTGGGTGTGTTGAATAGGAGCACAGGAACAGGAATAAGCCACTCAGCCCCTCAAGCCTGATCCAACATTCGAAGAGATAATGCCAATCTGTGGCCTAACTCCATTTACCTGCCTTTGGCCCATTGTCTCTTAATACCTTTGCTTAACAAAAAAAATCTAAATCTGATTTTAAAATTAACAACTCATATAGCATCCACTATCATTTGAGAAAGAGTTCCAACATCTATCACACTTTGTGCAGAAATGCTTCTTAACATCTTTCCTGAATGATCTGCCCTAATTCTTACACTATAGTGTACTTCTAGAAATCCTAACTAGTGGAAATAGTTCATCTTTATCTACCCTGTCTTTTCTTGTTAATATCCTGAACACTTTACTAAGATTACTCTCTTAAATTCCGGAGGAAACAGACCTAATCTGTTTTGTAATTTAACCCCTGAAGTCTGGGTATCATTCTTGTAAACCTAAGTTGTAGTCCCTCCAAGGCTGTCATATCTCTCCTATGGTGTGGTGCCCAGATCTGCTCACAGGACCCCAAGTAGGCTCTAACCAAGGTTTTATATAACAATGCATCCTTGTACTCCAGTTCTCTGGATACTAAGGCCAACTCTCTTGATTATTTTATGTACCTGTTTGTGACATTTAAAGATCCGTGAACCTGAACCCTCAAGTCCCTTTGGACATCCATTGTATTTAACTTCATACCATCTAGAAAGTACCCTGATCTATCCTTTTTGGTCCAAAATGAGCAACTTAAAAAGGGTGAGTGCAGATCCAGCAACATTCAAAGCTCAAAACTACCAGGATAAAACAACTTGTTTCATTACAACCCTTTCCATCAACATTTACAAGATACACTGCAACAACTCACCAAGGTTTCTTTAACAGTACCTCCCAAACCAATCATCCAAAAGATAAAAGTGCAGCAGGCACACCCAACCTGATTTAAAAATACAGGATCACTGGATCAGAATCCTCGAATCCTGACCTAACAGCTTAACTACATGGAGTGCAGAGGTTCAACAAGGCAGCTTGCTGTCATAATCCAAAGGCCAATGGGCAAAGGCAACAAATGCTGGCCTGGTCAACCATGCTCATATCCCATAATTGACTTTTTTAAAAATGTGAGATAGTACCAATGAAAGGAACCATAGGGTATTGTTTTTTTCTGTTTCGGTGTAGGCTGTATTTTGATGACTCAGTGTTGATTACTGCCATTCAATCTCTCTTTTAATAAAATTGAACCTTGGAAAACGTCCAGCATCTCACTTCTTTGGTTTTTAGTTGTTAGAAGTTTTTATTGGGAGTTTTTGTTGTGTTTTTTTACACACACTTTCTATTTCCAATCTTCTCTGGTTCTACTTCATTTGACATTGAATTCACGCATACATATATACTTCATTTTTCATCTATGTGCTGTTTATTTCACAGTCATTCAATCTGATTAGTTAAGCAGATATATTGTTCATTTCCTTGTTAACTTGGGTCCCAGCTGCCTGTTTCCTTTGGTTGTTTGACTGTTTCAGTTAATGGCTTCCAAGAAAAATTATGAACCTGAATATGCAAGTTCAAATTTACTAATATGTAAAGAATTATATATTTTAGGAAATTGATCTTCATACACCAGATAAATATGATCCAACTTATTCTGACAACTGAAGCTCAGCTGCATTTCAGAATAACATTGAAGAAATTAATGGCATTGTCTAATTAGAAGGTGTCAAGCAGATCAGTGTCCTGAAGCCTGTTGCAGTGTTCTGCAGGAGGACTTCAGGCTGATGCTAGGCACATTGTCCGTTAAGAGGTGCATTTGCTTTTATGATGTTCCTTTTGTATAACTATTGACAATTTGAGTTGGATTTTGACACTTCTATCATTATCAAACATGGTACAGCTGTGACTGAATCCCTGTGGTAACCCATTGCTTAATCTACTTGCTATATGAATTTTTTTTTAAAAAGGGGGATATATTCATTAGAAAAAGGATTGGGAACCTTGCAAAATGTAATTCTGCTGTAATTCCTGTTCACAATTAAACATGTTGGGCAAAAAATACTACAGTTTCTATGCAGCTAGGGATACATTTGTGAGGGAGGGATATTCTGCACTTTTACTTTCGTTAGTGAGTGTTCATTGGAACTTACTGTCAGAAAATGAAATTTATAATTTATAATGCTCATTTATCTTTTCAGGGCATCTTTTCCAGTCTTTTGTGATGTGACAAATATTGTTGAAATAGAGCTGCTCCAAAAGGACAATTTTCTACCATTATGGCACTACAGCAAACACTGCACTAAAACGAAGCTTTATTGTCAAACTTTGATTTCAGGTGCTAATAGAGTGCAATTGCAACCTCTGTTCCAAAATTGCATCTTCCTCCTTTCTGGATTATTGATCCCACATTCATTATTATTTACTATATCTTTGATACAACACAATTAGTGGCAGACTGTGACAACTCAGTGTGGAGCTGGAGGAACACAGCAGGTTAGGCTGCATCAGAAGAGTAGGAAAGTCGATGTTTCAGGTTGGGACTCTCCTACTTTCACATACCACTCCACCAACCTCTGTATCCAGCGTATCATCCTCTGTCACTTCCACTACTTACAATCTGACCCCACAACCAAAGAGAGATTTCCCTCTCCACCCCTATCTGCCTTTCGTAGGGACCGCTCACCCTGCGACGCCCTCGTCCGTTCCACACTCCCTTCTAACCCCACCACCCCTGGTACCTTTCCCTGCAAAAGCAGGAGGTGCTACACATGCCCATACATACACCTCCCTCCCTCCCCTCGCTCCCCGCCCCAGCCAAGGCCAAAGCAAACTTCCCATGTCCAACAGGGGTTCACCTGTACATCCTCCAACCTGGTCTACTGCATCCGTTGCTCCCGACGTGGCCTCCTCCACGTTGGTGAGACCACACGCAGACGCGGAGACCATTTCTTGGAGCATCTGCGCTCTGTACACGATAATCGACAACACCTTACAGTCGCTAACCATTTTAACCCTCCCCCACCGGACTTCCTTGATGATATGTCCATCCTGGGCTGCCTCCAGTGCCACAATGATGCCACATGTAAACTGGAGGAACAACACCTCATATTCCGCCTCAACAGCCTACAGCCTGATGGCCTAAGCATAGAATTCACCAGTTTTAAAATCTCCCCACGTCCAACCCTCCCTCTCATCTGCATCTCCTTGACCTGACACAACCTGTCCATCATCTTCCCCACCTATTCACCCCATCTTTACCACTGACCAATCCCCACTACCCCCAACTGCATCCACCTATCACCACCCCCCCCCACCCTTCCCCCGCCCCCCCCCCCCCCCCCTCTATTTATTTCCCAGCTCCCTTTTCCCCCTCCCCAGTTCTGAAGAAGGGTCCTGACCCAAAACATCGACTTTCCTGCTCCTCTGATGCTGCCTGACCTGCTGTGTTCCTCCAGCTCGACATTGTGTTGTCTTTGACTCCAGCGTCTGCAGTTCTTGGTATCTCTTTGTGGCAGACTGTAAGGCTGAAGCAGCAATTGCCTGAAGAAGTTTCTGGTGAGAAGTGATAAGAAGCACATAAGCTATTGAAGGATCTTATTTGGTGCGTGGTGAGAGTTGCGTTTGTCGGTTGAAACATACTAACGAGAAGGGACGAGTCCATGATAGAGTACACATGGGCTGGAGTTTAGATGCAGCCTTGATGCCCTTTTCTATTTATTATTTCTCCCTTGATGCTTTTGCTCATTATTTTAGATGTGTGACTGAGTTCATGAAATAATCCCAGAATATCTATTGCAAATACTACTGTGTGTTCTGAAATTTCCTCTGAAAGAAAATAACAGTTTCCTGCTTTTGGAAGAATTGTATCTAAAATGGAGAATTGATCACTGTTCAGAAAAGTTTGGAATAATTGCTACCTTATCATCAGCGCAAGGGACATTTCCCACAAACAGAAGCATGGAAAATGAAACGGTAAGCTTACTTAAAACTAGCTACTGTTATCAATAAATGTTGCCGTTAGTCTGTTATTGAATACTCAACTGCATTACTATTGATGATTATTGCAGCTGGAGGAATCTGCTGTCTTTACTCAGACAGGTATATGTGACTGCAATGCCACAAAAATGTGGTTTTCTCTTAATATCACTGTTTAAAAGGGCACTGTATAAACCACACCTTCTGCAGCAGTTCAAGATGATGACCCACCAATACCTGCCAAGGCAGCTAAAGGTGTGCAAGAAGTGCTGGCCTTGCCAGTGATTCCTGAAACCCAATTAGCAGGAGTAAGGTACTCTTTCAGAACTGCCACCTAATCACAGACTGTCCAACAAGCTGCTAATGGATGATGTCCTAGTGATATTAGCCTAGATTCTTCAGCCAGGAGACCTAGGTTTGAATCCTATGACGGATTGTGGAATGTGAATCCAGTAAAATGATGACCATGAAAGTGTTGTTTTTATTCATTTGTGGGACATGGGATTTGCGATAGGGTTAGTGTTTTTATTGCCTGTCCCTGGTTGCCTTGAGAAAGTGATGGTGAGCTGTCTTCTTGAACTGTTGCAGTCCATGTGCTGTGGGTTGGCCCACAATGTCATGAGGGACAGAATTCCAGGATTTTGACTCAGCGACAGTGAAGGAATAGTGATATATTTCCAAGTCAGGACAGTGAGTAGCTTAGAGGAACTCGCAGGTGGTGGTGTTCCCATGTATCTGCTGCCTTTGTCTTTCAATAGGGAAGTGGTCATGGGTTTGGAAGGTGCTGTCTAATGATATTTGGTGAATTTCTGCAGTGCATCTTGTAGATAGTTCACTGCTGAGTGACAGTGGTGTAAGGAGTGGATGCTTCTGGATGTGGTGCCAATCAAATGGGCAGATTTGTGTGTCCTTTGAATGCATTGGAGCTGCACTCATCCAGGCAAGTGGGGAGTATTCCATCATACTCCTGACCTGTGCCTTGCAGATGGTGGACAGGCTTTGGGGAATCAGGAGGTGAATTACTTAGGGTAGTATTCCTAGCCTTTGACCTGCTGTTGTAGCCACTGTGTTTATGTGGTGAGTCTAGTTGAGTTTCTGATCAATGGTAACGTCAAGGATGTTGATAATGGGGGTTTCAGTAATGGTGAAGAAATTTTTCCTCATCTCCATCCTAAATTGTCACCCAAAGAGTGGTGAGCCTGTGGAATTCATTACCACTGGAAGTAGTTAATGCCAAAACATTGAATATATTCAAGAGATGACTAAGGAAAGCACCTGGTGTGAATGGGATCAAAGGTTATGGAGAGAAAGCAGAAACAGGCTATTGAGTTGGATGATCAGCCATGATCACGAAGAATGGTGGAGCAGGCTCAAAAGGCTGAGTGGCTTCCTCCTGCTCCTATCTTCTATGTTTCTATTCCTGCACCAGCTGAAGTCCCCATGAAGGATTTTCCTTTTCAACGTTTCTCTTCATCTGCGGTATGGTGACCCTCAGGACTTGAACCCACACTGTTGGCATCACTCTGCATTTTAAACCAGTCACCCAGCAAATTGAGCTAACCAACCCCCAATAGTTTAATTTCAATTGATAAATTTTGCCCTGAACTTCATTCAGCATTTTTACACACAGTTCCTGTGGGCGCATTTGGTAGCCGGAGAAAGTGTTTGCAAGAAATCAACTTTAAAGTGACTCCAATGTCCTGTGAAATGGAGAATTCAAGAGTTGAAAAGCAACTTTTCTCTAATTGGCACAACATTTCAACTGAAATGTTTATAATAGAGAGATGCAGGGAGCCTGAACTGAATGTTTGGTCTATATGTTCTCTTCAATCAACCTTGCCATTAATGACATTTTGTTTTAACATTTCAGGACTCCTCTCCATCATCTTACAGCCACAGGATAGTGCCGACATCCCTTCCACTGTCCAAATCTCTAACATCCTCTCCGCCAGTATGTAATGGGACGACATCTCCCATTCGTTTTCCAAGTGAAGGTCAGTTCAGCTGTGGAAGTTTCGCTTTGAAAATGAACAGAAGAGTGTGTTAAATACTGATGTATGTTTCAAACACAAAACATTAAAATTCAATCTCACCTTTTGCATATTTTGTAGGGCTGCTATGTAGAATGAATATAGCCAATCTCAACTCTGCAAATTCCTACAATACAAGTCTATCCAATGTTCATTACTAAATGATAATCTCAGTCATTGAGACACCAGAATGACTGGAGTAGCAAATGTTTTAATTTCAGGTCAAACTTTGTGTCAATTGAAACTTTTATTCCAAAACTGTTCCTCTCATCTTCTTTATCTTAACAATTTCTGGATTACTGAGTATACGCTCATATGTAGAAGGTTATGTGATTGGCTGAAATGAAATGAGGCAGGAGAGTGTTTATTTAGAAACAAACACCAGCATTAAACTCTTTGGACAAAATAATATGAAATTCCTATGTATGTGTTTACCCAAAAAGAACAAATCTTAATTTTATACCTCCATTCAACAGACCAAGGTTGTTGGTGTTTTACTGGACTGTGCTGATGGTAAATGTTCAAGTCAGGTTGAGGAGACACTAACCTTATTCGCTATCTGCTGTGTAGTCCATCTTTATGTTAATACATATTTAGCACAAGTTTATTGTTCTACTTGTCCCTAGTCTGGTGAATATCAGACAATCTACCCTTGGTTAGCATATAGGTGACTGTATTGTACAATCTCTGGTTAGCATATACCTGGCTATAATATACAAATTATTTCACTCACTTTGCAGAGCAAGTGTATTTCAACATGACATCCCCTTCTTCAAGCAACGAAGGGCTGTTGTGTGAGCTGAAAGCTGGAAAGGTCCTGAGGCCGACACAACAGACTACAGGCCTAACAACAATATTTTCTGGCAGTGGAAGCAATGTAAGTGGGGAGGAGCAACAACTTGTGTTTTATAGATAGTGTTTTTATCAGTTAAATGTTCAAACTGCTTTGCAGAACAATTGTCAAACTTTGTCTGATGACATGCCAAATACAATAACAACTTTGCATAAAGTAAAACGCAATGAAACATCCTAAAGTGATTTGGAAGAGCATTATAAAATAAAAAATGTTATTAGGAAAATGTGATCAAAAGCTTGCTTGGAAAATAGATTTTAAGAAATGTCTTAGGAGAAAGGTACAGGAAGGGAATTCCAGAGCTTAGGACCCTGGTAGCTGAAGGAATAGCTGATATTGTTAGAGGTATTAAAACACGAGGTTATAATAGAGAAGTGGAGAGATCTTGGATGTTGCAGACTGTAGGAGTTTAGAGAGGAGGTGAAGTAAGACCATGGAGAGATTTGAAAACTTGAGGTGTTGCCAAATCAATGATTAGTGTAAGTCAACAAGCACAGGAGTGATGGTGGAACAGGACTTAAGTGTTTAAGGATCCAGTGAGTAAAGATTTAGGTGACCTGAAATTTCTGTAGTGTTGAAGATGGGAGGGAGCAAGAATGCATTCAATAGACAACTCCAGAAGTAATGCAGTGAAGATTTCAGTAGAGACTGGGCTGAGATGATGACAGAAAAGGCCGATATTCTGAAAAAGTTACCACTGTCCAAGAGGACCATAGACCTATTCTTTCATAAGAGAGAGACGACTGGTGGTAAGTTTAACCTGAGTATCACCACACCTCGGGTGAGGGGCAAGGTTGAGAAGGTGGGGCCTTCATGATAACCTGAGCCAATGTGGAAATTGAAACTACATTGTTGGTGTCACTTTGCGTTACAAACCAGTCATCCAGTCAACTGAGGAAACTAGGTTCTTGGTGGTGGAGAAGATATTGGATCACAAGTTTGTTTTTGGGGTCTGAAAGGTTTGCGACAGTTGGTTTGATCACAGACAGTTGCCTGGAAGAGGTTGTTAAAGATAAGGTTAAACAAATTCTGGTGGGGACTGAAGACAATGGCTTTGGTCTTCACAATAATCCATGAAGATTTCCAAGTCTTTTTGTCTGATAAGCAACATGGCGAATCATAGTGGAGGAATCAAGAGGTGCTGCTAGTTAAGTGGAGCTGAATTTTGTCAGTGTATATGTGGAATTTGTACAGTCTTGTGCATTGTAGTAGAGTCCTTACCTTTTGGACAGAAGGACTAGGTCAGGCCGCATGTCAAAAGAGGTTGATTAAAAATGTATCTGTGGAGTTTGCTGTTGTGCTTTTGATAACATTGCCAGGTGGCAGCTTATGGGTTAAAAACAGGAGGTGCCAGGAAATTATGTCTGGGGAGATCTAGAAACAGCTGTGGGAATAGGAATAGAGCCATTACAATTGATTCTTTGACTGTGACTGTTTTGAACCAGGCAAAGACAGTCCTATCCACTGGACAATAGAAAGATTTGAAGAATAGTCTGGTCATACATTTCGAAGGCTGCAGAAGAATGAAGAAGGTTAGCTTACTATCATCCCTGTATTAAAAGTGGGATAGTGTGACTTGTATGATGGGTGATGTTTTTATGAGAATGCAGAAGATCACAACAGGCTAGTAGGTAAATATTATTTTGACTGATACTTGAACAACTGCTATTCTTTTCAGAACCGGTGGTTAAACATGGGGCGTGGAAAAGTGCCACTACATGGGCGAGTGCAATCCTTGCACGGGAAGCCTTCAAGCCCAACAGCAGCTGGTGTCCATGGCAAATCGAGCTCTGATCGCAAATCTTCAATATAAGCAAAAACAAACTGGAGAATAGGGCAGTTAAAGCGAGCTAATAGTAGAAATTTCATTTCTTATTAAATTTATTTTAAATTACATCACAATTGTCAATTTATTTACTTTCCTGTGATTTCAGATTTCTGCCCTGGTTGCATTTGCTGAAATTGACCGGGGTTATTCTAGGATAGATGAGCATTATTGTCTCAAATATGTGAATGTTACTTTTGGTTGTAGTGCCGTCTATTGAGACAGTTTGTTTCTCAGCAGTTCAGTTTTAAGTAAATTGAGACAGATGATACTCATGCTGTTTCCAAATTTCAACTCAACTCCACTGCTAATGAGTAGAATGGGTTAGATTGTTCTTGATTAATATGAACCTCTTTTTCAGTCTGCAGAAAAGTAACAGATACGTTGGACATTGATGTTTTTAACAAAAATAGATGAATTGATAGCACAGATTGAAATAAATATGTACCATTGTCATTATATATAGATATGGTTGCCTAGGCCAAGACACTTTCAAGGGGATTTGGAAGGACAGGAAGAAAGCAAAAGGAGGTGGGTAGCTTTGTTAGTCAAGCATGAGATCTATACACCAGACGGCTATTCTTGGTTTGAAGTATCAAAGTCAGAATCAGTTTGGGTTGAGATAAATCGCAAGGGGTTCAACAAAAACTGAGAAGGAAGGAAAGTGGGGAAATGAGTGGCAGCATTGATTAAGTAGAGCATTGCAATGTTAGAGAGAGAGGACTAGAAAAGGGAAAGGTTTTCACCTAGGACTACATACATTTTGCTGTGTAATGGGTGTGTGTGAAAATTAAGTAATGGATTCTATCCATTTGAATAATTTATCTTTTGCCATCTGTTTACGCAAAGCTAGTGTCCAGTTTCATTAATAGAGTTTTACTACACAGTGAATGGCAGTTGACAAATGAGTAACAGAGCCCAACAATGATGATTTTGGAGTAATTAACTTGTTCTCCATTGCTCGGTTTTGCACTGATTTGAGCAGAAGCTCTGCTGATGGAAATCTTGTGAAAGTCAAATGCTGGGAGATTCTCAGATATTAGTTTTGTGGATGTCCCAGGTTTTAGAATAATTAATGGGTTGTTGGAGTGGCTGGCTAGGTTATTGGCCAGATGGTAGGACAACAGAGGTAGGACAAAAGACATCCTTCCCTCAAGGACATTGGTGAACCAGCTGGGTTTTTACAACATTTTAAGATAGTTTTTTACTGAATTTAAATTTCACCAGCTGCAGTGGTGGGATTTGAACACATGTCTCCAAGGCATTAGCCTGGGGTATCTGAATTACCAGTCCAGAGATGTTACTACTACTACACCACCACCTCACCACTAGGTGAATTAAATTATTGCCATCTTCACATCTGCAGAACTATCAAAAGGAAAATTTCAGCCAGTGACCAGGCCAGGTCTATCAATAGCCCCCAGTGGCCAGGAAAGCCAAAACTGTATTTAAAAACAAAGTGTTGTAAAAACTGCAGGTCTGGTAGCCTCTGGAGGGAGGAACAGTTTACAGTTCCAGTCGAATATAACCGCTTCTCTGAGGAAGTTCCAAATGTGTGTTTCTTTCAGATTTCCAGCACTGTGGTAATCTTGTTTTTATTAAAAGCATGATCAAGCTTGGGCAGTTTGTTTGTGTACTTTACATGCTTTTATTCATATCTGGGAGTGTAACACTATCTATCTGCAATAGAGTATTTCTATGTGCCTGTATTATGTTACAGCACTTTAATGCTGCAGGCACACATTTCCCTTTTAATTTTCCAGTGTGTTCATTTCATGATTGCTGGGAGGGAAATGAGACTTTGGAATCTCTTTATTTGTAGTGATAGGCAAAACACTGATTAGACATTTCACAAGAGGGAACAAAGGCTTCACTTTGTCAATAAGACTTTTATTCACAAGCAGTGAGAAGATGGAACACAGTCTGACAGCACTTTAAGTCTGCAAATCTGATTTAAAAATCTCCCCACAATGAATAAGGAGGGAATGAAGTGCAGTAAAGGAAAGATCCTCCGGTTTCTGCCACTTGTAATAGTCCTCCTCCTGCTTATCTATCTAACAAGCGTTAACCTTTGTAAGTATAAAGGATTATCAAAGTACATGTACGCATTGGGGACTGTAAACTTATGCTACTTGCTCGTTTTATGTTCCCATTTCCATGGAAATCTGTATTTATGAGGATCATAGATACTGACAGCTAAAGACAGGAAAATGTCGGTTCAGTTTGTTAATGAACTGCCTGGAGAAATTAGTTGGAAAATTTGATGTTGTAGTTATCATGCCACACAGTGATGCTCTTTAGAGTAACTAGGAGTTTAACCACATTGTCATAGTGCCATCGCAGCTGAGGAAATGTGCAGGATACTGATCTTCCCTTCCTTTTTAGGCAGTCCCTCAGGATCGAGGATGACTTTCTTCCAGTTGGTGTTGTGGGTGCTAAGGTGTCTGTTGATCTAATCTGGATCCACAAGCCCTGCCATAGATGGGATAGTTAGTGTTCACTGAGGTGGGTGGGTAGGATGCCTTGGTTATATCCAACTGCTTCATCAAGCATGTGAATGATTCCTTGTTGGTTGAAGCATTCTATCTTCAGTATTGTCCACATTATAATCAGCAGCAGCATGACAGAACACTAGTCTTTGAAAAAGCCTCTCTGTGCCCAGCATGTGGGCTCCATCATGGCCTCGTTCAGTTTTCATGACAGTGATTACTTCATTCCTCTGCAATTTGTTTATGGCTATCACCAGGACCATTGAAGTGACTAGCTACTCTTCAAATTCAATTTATTTGTCCCATGCCCCATATATGCAAGACTCACTATAAGGTCTCTGAGGCTGCTGCCTGCAACACAGATCAATCAGGCATTTTTTGACAGTGTATTCACACATTCAGCACACTTACAATGGTGTACGTGCAATAGACATGTTAAAGCAGCACTCTAAATGTCCAGTGACGAAGTAGCATCTGTCAGTACAGCCAAGTCTCCCAGAACTTTGGTTGCACAATTTAACCATTTTTCAAGACATACAAAAGAGGAAGAAAACAAAAGGCATCAACTGGCTTGAAAATCCATTTTATTAACAGCTACTGATTCTGGGTTCCTTCCTTGAGTAAGCTCATTGGTTTGATAGTCTCCTTTAGTTCTTCACCATTACTCCACTTAAAGTACCATTTTATCCTATTTAATTGTAAAAGGTCCCATTCTTGTGTAGCATTGAGGGACCATTAATTCCCTAAACTCAGTGAGTGATTGACTACTTGCAATGTAGTGGTTGAAATCCCCTGTTCATTCTCATTTTGTCTGAGTCATTTATGTCATTTAGGACCCTGATTCCATCTCAACCCACTTGGACATAGGATGTATGCAGCAGCATCCCATCAGTTACAACTAGGTCTGAAGACTGAAGATACCTTCCTAGATACATTATTGCTTGTGATATGTTTGCTATTCTCCTGGAAGTTGAAATATTCTCCATTATTTAAGAGTGCCCCTGTGACACAAAACCAGTTTAGATGTGAAGAAAATGTTAAACTGCAAAGGATGTGGATTAATATGGCAATAATAGAACAAATGAGCATGCTGTACTGAGCATTTGGTTTTGCTTGGCTGGGGAAACGGTTCAAAAGCACCAGAGCACAAGGGTTGGTGAGATGTTCCTTTTGCTTCCTAAGACCTTGGAGTTGTCGAGGTCTACAGCACAGAAAAAGGCCCTATGGCCTATTGAGTCTGCATTTGTCAAAAAAAAAAACATCTAAGTATTCTAATTCCAATTTCCAGCATTTGTCTGATAGCCTCGTACACCTTGGAATTGCAAGTGCACATCTAAATGTTACGATGGTTTTTGCTTCTACCATCCTTGCAGGCAGTGAGTTCCAGATTGAAAAGATTTTCCTCGCATCCCTTGAAACCTTTTGTTACTTACCTTAAACATATGCTCTCTGGTCATTGATCTCTTCAAGGAGAAAAGTTTCTTCCTGTCTATGCACCCCATAGTTTGATACATCTCAATCATGTCTCCGCTCAGTTTCCTCTGCTCCCAAGTAAGACAACTGCAGCCTATATAATCTTTCTTCATAACTAAAACTCTCCCATCCAAGCAATATCCTGGAAAATCTTCTTCAATTCCCTTTCCTCAGGTTTTTTTCACTTCTTCACAGGAGTGATTAATTACAGAGTCTCTCAGTTACTGGTTAAAGCCAACAGCATCAGCAGACCAGGCTTGAGGGGCTGAATTATCTACTCCTGCTCCTAGTTCTTATGTTCAGATGGGAGAAAATAAATGTTTTTTTTTCAGGTTTCAGGTACTTTTACTGCAGAGAGGTAAAAACACAGAATTTGCTCTGGAGCAGTCCAGAGACTTTTCCCGTTTGATTGTGAAGCACCAAGATACTCCCTTGCCCAGAAGCCAATCAGAGAGCTGTTGTCCTTTGACACCCAACACGGCAATTGCATAAACCAATGAGTTACCTGTTACTGGTTGATCGTTCCTACCCCCCCATCATTTCCAAAGCAATGGTGTAAACACAACTCACACAATGAGTTCCAGTAAAAAAACAAAAGAACTGCGGAAGCTGTAAATCAGAAACAAAAACATGTTGCTGGAAAAGCTCAGCAGGTCTGGCAGCATCTGTGAAGAGAACTCAGAACCCAAAAAGTTCTGAGGAAGGGTTACCGGACCCGAAACATTAACTCCGATTTCTCTTCACAGATGCTGCCAGACCTGCTGAACTTTTCCAGCAACCAAAGAAAGTGGTTGAGGCAGGTACAATAGCAACATTTAAAAAAACATTTGATAGTTACATGGATGGGAAGGCTTTAGAGGGATATGGACCAAATGTAGACAATGGGAACTAGCTAAGTCCATGGTCAGCATGGATCAGTTTGGGCCGAAGGGCCTGTTTCCATGCTGTATTATTCTATGACTTCTGACTATCTGCTATTTTTCTTCTAAATGGTAGAGGTTGTAAATTTGAGTAAGGTGCTGTCAAAGGAAGATTGCCAACATTTGTTACAGATTCCTACAGTCATTAATTAAAATGCTGATATATTTCAAGGAGAGCTTCAGAATGCCTTTGAAGTGTTTTCCTTGTTCTCCTGGAACACTTGTTATTTGAGAGCGGAGGATTGGAGCTGGTGGGGAGCAGCTGAGCACTGTGTTGAATCCATGGCAATTGATGTTGCAGCAGTTTTTCCTGTATGCTTGTGGAACTGGCTTCAAGGAGGACATTAATGTTTGTGTGATTTTCCCTCTTCCCTCTGTAGGATGGACTGGAGACTTTGTAATTTTTCTAGTATTCTAACATGTTACTGATGCACAGTCCAAGTCTCACTGCAGAACAGGAATGCAGTGATGACAACTACACCACATATCAGGGCTGTTAACTTATTAAGGTGTTGATATCAAACACTTGCTGCCGTAGCTGTAGAACGCGGACCTGGCTCAGCTGTTCCAATGTTGGATCTCCTAGTCAACTGGTGGCCTTTGAGAGAGTGGATGCCCATATATGAAAAGTGCATGACAGTTTCCAGACTCTTCCCTTCACCATACATGGGAAGTTGACCAGATATAGGTTGCTATATAGCTTATTACCGTGTGAAGCTATGCCTACTTGACACCAGTTTTATCCAGATTACAGTATACACCAAAGTCCAACAACTGTTTTAGTATTTTGTTGTTTCCTGCAGCCCAATCTCATCAGGTAAATGCTCAGAAATCAGAGACTGAAATCTGGGAAAATAAGCATCATGAAAACAAGGTAAGATTGGCAGTGAATACCAAACCCTTTTTCCTAATGTCAGTGTATGTCTGTACAGTATTGATGATGTTCTGCATCCGTTGAAGAAGGTGCTTTAATCAGAAAAAGGACCTTCACCTGCTAATAGGGAACTGTATAATTTTGTGCCAGAATAATTTAAATCTACGATGAATTCATATCTTAACTAGACTATAAAAATGCAAAGTGCTGAGATCTGATCTTAATGGGAAAGAAATGAATAAGCAGAAACATTGTGTTAAACTTAGAACCTTGGTTAGATCACACTGAGGAGGGTACTGTGCACAGTTCTAATCCCCACATTATAGAGAAGATATAGGTGCATGGGAATAAGGTGCAAAACTGAATCACAAGAATGGAAGTTATACCCATCAGGAAAGATTTTACTGGATGCGTTCTCTCCTCTTAAAGCGAGCTGCGTAAACAGTGACAGAATAACCCGAATCTAAGCTTTTAAATTCTGTAATCTTTTGCACCAATCAATTAAATTAAGGCAAATTTTACTTCAGCACCATATAAACCCCCTCAGTATCTCCTTGTTCCATTCTCTTTCATAACATCACTTAACACAAATAAAACTATCTCTGGGAAGTTCCAATTGACCACTAGTCTTTGAGGGAGAGAATTTCCGATTTCCACTAGCTTATGTGAGAAGAAACGCTTGCTGATTTCACTCCAGAGTAGACTGTCTGTAATTTTGATATTTCTGACCCCTTGGTTTCTCCAACCAGATGAAATAATTTGTCTGTACCTACCCTGTTACATTCCTTTGTCATTTTAACCCCTTGATTAGTTTACCCATCAATTTCATGAACTCGCAATTTAATTTTCTAAATCCCTGGATCATTCTGGTATAACTGTGCCATACCTCTTCAGTGGCCAATATGTTCTACCTGAGGTGTAGAGTCCAGAATTGAACACTGTATCTAGGTATTTAGGAGTGTACCTAGATATAGTTCAGTGTAGTTTATGTAACCAGCACCAACTTCCTACCCCTTTAAATGTCAGCTGTCCCTTTTGCAACTCTGCTCCTATAAGCACAAATCTTACAGTCTTCAGCAACTTGAATATTCTTATTCTATTGAGGTCTCAATATAGATTCCTGATGAAACTATTGACAACCCTGCCTATACTTTAAATGAGACATTAAACCAAATATTTCTGCCCTCTCAGGTAGACATGTAAGATCCCAGGGCACTTTCCAAAAGGCAGAGGAATTCTTCCAGTATATTGGCATTTCAATCAACATGATTAAATTCAGTGATTGGTCTTGCTGTCATTTATGAGAAGTTGCTGTGCTGTAATCCCCTACATTGCAAAAGCAACTTTGAAATACTTGAAAATGCCTTAGCAAAATGAAAGAAGGTATTATTAAAAACTAGTATTTGATATTTCATTCAGATTATAAAATGCAGAATTAAGTGACCTGTGTATGCAGGGCATTGCAAGCCTTGACAGTGTGACTGTATCTATAATAGTGAGATGCAGCAAGCCTATGTTCTGCAATTCCTACACCAAAGAACTACAGAGAAAGGCAGCATTAAAAGACATAAAGGACAAAGAGAAGAGAGGAAAGGAACAGATTATTACAGATAATATGTTCCAGAAATTATTAAGTTTATAGGTATTAAGTTTAATTAACCGCCTTTTAATAGTCTATTCTTGTTCTTGCATACTTCTGAATGGGGTCAGCACGTGGATGTTTCAAAGTCGTTGAATTCCGTGGATAAAAATCACAAGGAGAAGTGTCACAACAGCAATTTTCAAATCAGTCGGGTCCAAGCTGCATTCCAAGCTTGTTTGACAAAGAATGAAGATATTTTACTTAAAAGCTATCTTGAAGGATGGGCAGAACTCCAAAAGTAAGCAAACAAAATATTAATCAAAGCATTTACGTTTGATAGCAGAGATGAAGTTGGCAAAACAAAGGTTTGTTTAAATCTAACAGTTTGTTTGTTTGCTAAAGGTAAATATTGAGGGAAATATAGAGGACAGTAGACCTATGCTAGTGCAGATGGAGCATGGGACAAGAATTTGGGTGTTGAGGAGTCGAGAATGTCTATGGGATGTAAGTGAAGGAAAATGACTGACGGAGCCTGGACAAAACACAAAGTATTCTAGAGTTTGCACACAAGGCAATGGGGAACTAATGGAGCTTGGATGGAATTGGATGAAGGGGATATGAAAGGGACATGAGATCTTGTGTAATGATAGGACCTGAGCTACTGTGTTTTTGATTAATTGAAGCTTGTAAAAGGCTGAGGCATCCAGACAACCAAGGAGATTTTAAGAAAACTCAACTTGTGAATGATGAGGTATGAACCAGGATTTCAACAGTGGAGCAGGACAAATATAGCAGTGCAGTGGGTATCACTGTGGAAATGTAAGGAAACATTCTTGACTACTCGCAATTGTGGGAATAATGCGTTAGCATGAGTTAACGATTGGTTAACATACAAAGGACAGACATGTTGGGATTAATGGATTTTTTTCCAGTTTCCAAAGACATAACTAATGGAGTGCCACAAGGTTCAATCTAAGGCCCCCAATTATTTACGATTTATGTTAATGACTTGAAGGAGACAGCAGAGTGTAATGTATCCAAATTTGCTGATGATGCAAAAATAAATGGGACAGCATGTTGTCATGAGGACATAAGGAATCTGCAAGGGCATATGGATATGTTGAGTATTTGAACAAAAACTTGACAGTTGGAGGTTAATGTAGGAAAGTATGAGGTTAGGCAATTTGGGAGGAAGAATTAAAAGGCAGACTATTATTTAAATGGAGAGAGATTCCAAGAAATTGCAGTACAGATGAATCTGGGTGGTCTTCTTCATGAAATATAAAACATTATCTGGTGTAGCAAGTAATTAATAAAGCAAATGGAATTTGGCTTCATTGCTGGGGAATTGGAGTTTAAAAATAGGCAAGTCTTGTTTCAAACATCTAGGGTGTTGGTGAGGCCACACCTGGAGTACTGCATATAATTTTAGCCTCCATATTTAAGAAAGGATACACTGGCACTGGAGGCAGTTCAAATAAGATTCACTGGGCTGACTCCTAGGATGAAGGAGTTGGATATATTGAGAATGGCTAAACACATTAGGCCTTTATTTATTAGTGTTTAGAAGGATGAGGGGTGATCTCATTGAAATGTTAAATATTCTGAGGTGTCTGAACAGGTTAGATGTCGAGAAGATGTTTCAATAATGAGGGAATCTCGAACTAGGAAACATAGTGAAGAGCATAAGTCACTTAATTGAAACTGAGATGCAAAAGAATTTGTCCGCCAGAGTTTTGTGTCTGTCTGGAATTGTCTACCCCAGAGAATTGTGGAGGCTAAGTCATGGAAGTATTTAAAAATGAAGTAGGTAGATTTTTGGAATATCAAATAGGTAAGGACTATAAGAAGCTGGATTAAAAGAGGAATTGAAGCTCGGGACAGATCAGCCACAATCGTACAGAATGACAGTGTAGGCTTGAGGGCCTGCTCCTATTTCCTGTGTTCTGTGGATGAATTTTCAATCAAGGAGTAACATTATAAAAATTGCAAATCACTTAATATAGAAAAATATCTGAAAGATATTTCACTGGGGTGTAACTTAACAAAACAAAATGACACCAAGCCAAAGAATAGGACAGGAAAGTATGGTTAAAGTAAAGATTTTAAGGAACTTCTACAAAACAAAAGATTATTGAGAGAATTCCTGAGTTTGGAGCCTAAACAATGGAAGGTATTGTCAATAATCATGAGGAAAGATAAGTGGGCATTTAAGCCTGTCAAGGCTAGAGTTGGAGAAATATACAGTTCTCAAAAGCTTATAGGGCTGAAAGAGGTTACAAAGAAATGGAGGAGTAAAGCCATGGTAGTATTTGAGCCTAAGGATGAATTTGTAGCTTTGCCAGACCAGTAGCCATTTGTGAGTCAAAGAGAATACAGAGTGATAGGTGAATGGGGACTGGCACAAGATCGTGTTATTTTGTATCTAACCCTGTGCTGTACCTTTCCTGGAAGTGCATGATATGGATAGTATAGAGGGAGCTTTTCTTTCAGTTTTTCAGAGCAGAGGGAACTTTACTCTGTATCTAACCCTAAGGTGTACCTATCTTGTGAGTGTTTGTTGGAGATTTAGGGACTGCAGAGTTTTGGATTAACTACAGAAGGTATATTTGGAGAGCTTTGAAATAGTCACATCTTGAGGTAAAAAAATGTGAACGACAGAGAGCAGATAGCTGAGGCAGGGTTAAAGACAGGACTTATTACATTGTGACAGTACATGATCTCGGTGACGGAGAAGCTATGGGATTGAACCCTCAGCTCAGGGTCAAATATTGATCTCAAAGGTTGTGAGCAATCTGGCTGAGATAGGAAGAAGAATTAAATTGGTTGTGGGGGGATGTTTTTGACAGAGGGCCAAAGAAAATGGCTTTGTTTTTCCCTAAATTAATATTTAACATCTTTAAAGACACATTCTAATTTTTGGTCCCTTTTAAAGGGAAATTTCTTAACATTGGGAGTTTTTAAAGAGATCCTTTCTCCTCAATTTGAATGGTCATGAAAATTGCTAGCACAATGGCAAATTATTGTTGAAACCAAAGATGCCCAGAAAGCCCAAACTATTGTCGTACAAAAACAGGCAATTGGTCCAGTACAGTCATCTCCTACATATGCCAAATCTAACCCAACCCACTTAGTTGTTGACCTTCAATCTTTTGTAATTCAGTCCACCCTTTTTGCCTGAATTTTATTAATGATTTTGGAGAGGGTAGTGGATAATAAGGGCTATTAATGTTTTACTGTCTGTGATGATCACACATGTGATAACTAAAATGTGATACTGTTAAAGCAGTTTTAGCTTATGAGGTAGCTTTCTGCTAATATAAATGTGTTTGTGAAGACTGTCCAAAAAAACCTACCATTCTTCAGATAACATCAAATAAACGTAATTCTTCATTTATGATGCGATATATACAGTAACAAAAAGAATTACTGCAGGGAATTCAGAAGATTGAGGGGGGATCTTATAGAAACATGTAAAATTATGAAGGGAATAGATAAGATAGAAGTAGAGAGGATGTTTCCACTGGCAGGTGAAGCTAGGACAAGAGGGCATAGCCTCAAGATTAGAGGGAGCAGATTTAGGACTGAACTGAGAAGGAATTTCTTCACCCAGAGGGTTGTTAATCTATGGAATTCCTTGCCCAGTGAAGTAGTTGATGCTACTTCAGTAAATGCTTTTTAAAAAAAAAGGTAGTTTTTTTTGAACAATAAAGGAATTAAGGGATACGGTGAGAACGCGGGTAAGTGGATCTGAGTCCACGAAAGGATCAGCCATGATCTTATTGAATGGCGGAGCAGGCTTGAAGGGCCAGATGGCCTACTCCTGCTCCTAGTTCTTATGTTCTTGTGACAGATCCACATTTAAACTGCCCCAAATTTGCATAAACTGGCATGAGGCATAATTTAGCAGTACTTCATAGTACTTGATCATGAGAATGTTGCACATCCATGCAGAAGGAGCCTTATTCTGAGTCTAACCCCGTGATGTACCTACCCAGGGAATGTTTGATTGGGAGAGTGTAGAGGCAGCTTTGCTTTCATTCTAAAATAGTAGAGAGTGATGGGGACAGTGTTGAGGGAACTTCACTTTCAGTTTAAAAGAGTTAGAGCCAGCTTTACTTGTGCTGTACCTGTCCTGTTAGAGTGTTTGTTGGGGGCAGTATTGAAGTTGCTTTACTTGCAATTTGAAAGAGTAGAGGGAACTTTACTCCGTAGCTAACCCCATGCAGTCCCTGTCCTGGCAGTGTTTGAATGGGATAGTGTAGAGATGAGCTTTACATTGAGTTTAAAAGAGTAGAAGGTGTTTGTTCTGCATCTAACTCTGTGCTATATCTGTCCTGGGAGTGTTTGATAAGGTCACACCAGATAAAACAAAGAAAGATAAAATATGTGATAACAAGGTGTAGAAACACATTCTCCTCTTTTAAACTCAATGTAAAGCTCATCTCTACACTATCCCATT